GGGATAGTTCTATATATCACTTAATTATAAAACTGTTAATTATATAATCACATTATGACTAAATTTTGATCCCTGAAATTCTTGGTAATACCAATGTTCACTTTGTCTGGTTTTGTTGCAGCATGTCCCATATATTACATTTGATCAACCAATAATAATAAAAATTATCATAAATCACATAATATGTTCATACAATGTTCTAAAAAAATTTTAAGCTCATACGTACGTACGTTTACAATATGTGCATGTGTACACAACTCCCAACCCTGTATATAAACTGTGCACTGTACTAAGAGTTTAATTCTAATTCAGTATGCACTTGTCATTTATAACTATTAAGTTATCTAACCATTTAAGATTACACTTCCTGGTCATAATGACACTTGCTGATCATTGTAAATAATTAAAGCAACATGAAAAAACATAATAATTTTATTATCCAAGAAATTTGCTTATTAAGTAAAATTAATCTTCATATCAAATGGGATAATGTACTGAAGTTTTGCCACATATAAATAATAACTTGTTACAAACCTTAAAAATATAAAAAATCTTTACCTTGAAAACTGACCACAATAGCAAGTTCTAATAACCTTTGTAGTACAAGTAAAAAATGCATTTCATGTTTAAATCTAGTTGCTTCTAAAATTTGAGAAAAAAAAATAAAAATATGGAAAATTTTACAAAAAATTCAACTCAAACTGCCCTGAATATAGACACCAAAAAATATATGAAGTTATTTTAAGTTGATTGTATTTTATTAAAAAAAAAATCAATATCTTGACAGGTTTCTTTTATTTTATTCACCCTTTGTGGCATACTATTTATTAACCTATCAATTCTTTCTGGACTAATATTAAACCATCCCTCTTTTAATAAACTGAATAGTCCTTCTTTTTAAATCCTAATGTAAATTTTCCACATTCAAATTTAGATAGTTGAGTAGAAGCTTAAATTTTCTTAAAAAAATAAATGTAATTTTTTTTTACTTGCTCTATTCAATTTTTTTAATTATTCGACCATCCTTACTAAATTTAGACTAATACTCGACCATCATATCTAAATTTGGCAGTAAAAAATCACGTGAAGTCCCTTTCTGAAAAATCTTTATTGCATTTTTGAATGAATCATGAAATCGCAATTTCAGAAATTTGAGCATGTGGCACAACAATAGGGGTCTTTTAGCCGTATGTAGATCCTTTCATTCACTGATGATGGATCACGAATTAATTATTTAAATAAGTAAAATTTATTAGAGCTCTGAACAGCCAGTACAATGATCTGACCTGAGTTTTTTGATTGTTGAGCTGACCTGATCAACAGGTACATACATATATTAATAAAGAACATTCATTATTGATAAAATGATAAACATCAGCCTTGAATGTAAAAAAATCTATCAAGTAAGCATAACACATATACATACTAAATAAAAGTTGTTTTATGTGTCAAAATTAATCTGTGTACATGTGTTTTAAGCACAAATAATAGATGCAGATTGGATACAATGTGATTTTGTTGTTTTTACATGTTTTTATATGTTTTTTTAACTTCTTTAAAAACAAAAACCAACAAGTAAACAAACAAAGCAGAGTTGTTCTATGGATCAAATTAACTTGGAAAATGTGTTTTGAACTTGGGCATTAAACATCAGTTTGAATGTGACACAATGTGTTTTTTCATAAAAAATCTATATATATTTAAGGGATAACAACAGCCCAATTGAATGATAATTGTTAAAAGTCAATCTGCAAGTTGGCCCAGGCTGTTTGGAATTCTAGAAACTTTGTTCATGATATAAAAATATATATATATAAATCTGTATTTTTATTTGATTCATTACCTCATTGATGTCATGTGACTATTAAACAATTTGATCAGTTAAATTAACCAGTTAATTTCTGAGAAGAAAATATTAATTTGTAAATATATATGTTAACGTTTAGAGATATCATTTATTGGTGCAGCTTTTATTTCAGACAAATTTATGGATGCATCTCTTTCTTGATCAATTTCACCAATTAAACATCTAATTAAACAATTAAACAATTAAATATTTGTAATATTTATTCCTAGGAATTTATGAAAAAGTAAAAGATACTCACATGTTATCACCTCGTATTATATATAATCCAAGGGATACTCTTTCTACTCCTTCTGTTTCTGAAAAGATTCTTTCATGACAACTTGCCAAAATCAAATTTATCACTTGATCAAATCCTTTTAGTGTTCCCTTTTTTATAATAAAAATAGATTAAATTATAGAAAATTCAAAGAATACATACAAATGATGATGATAATAATAATAAATAAACAAACAAACTACCACTATAACTCTTCCATCAGATGTAACGACTTCAACTGTTGCTTATAAAAATGAAAAGAATTTGAATTAATTATTAGATAATTATTAAAATTAACTAAAGTATTTTTCAAGTGTGTATGATATATATCTCTTACCATCAACATATTTTTGCAATTCTGCCATTTTTTATTTAGTAATGTAATACTAATCTTTGTTGAAACTTTTTATCTAATGAAAGAGCAAAAAAACAAATTTTATTCAATCGTTTCACAAACTCTGCGCCATGGTATCAACTAAATCCGCAGCATATTCCAAAAAAAATAAAATTTTTATTGGAGGGTGAATACATAATTTTGGAAAAAATATATTGATGTTAACAACATGGAACTAATTGAACTAATTGTCGAAAACAATTTAACCAATTTAACCAATGGTAATAACGATAATAATAATCATAATAATAATATCGAAGAGCCAATAGAACCAATCATAACAATTGATAACAAAAGTGAAACAGACAATACTGTTGTCAGTGACGATAAACAAGACCAGAAATCTGAAGAAGTTGTTGAAGTAAGCAATGGGCGATCTAGACCAAGAGAATCAAAAGGAAAACAAAAGGAAGATCAAAGCGATGATGAAAAAGATCCTGTAAAAGCCTTTTTAGAAAAATGGGTATGTACATCTCTTACCTCTCTTATTTACATACATAGGCAGACGTACATATATATTTTAAATATTTTTGCTTTGAATGTTATAGAAATTTGAAGATCCTGGAATATGTTGTGTGTGTCTTGAAGGCGCAACTGCCGAAGAAAATATGTTAGTGTATTGTGATGGCCAGGAATGTGAGGTTGTTTGTCATCAAGGTATTATTAATATCTGTATTATTATTGTTATTATTATTATTAGTGTATTGGTGGTAATTAGTATTTGTATTTATTTTCATCGTCATAATTTTCTCATATAATTTTTCTATTAAATTTTTTTAGAATGTTATGGAATAACAAAATTACCTGCTACAGAAGATCCTTGGTACTGTGACAAATGTCTTGCAAAACCATCTGAAGTGGTGGTATGTTAAATAAATAAACAAACCATTGTTATCATAATCATAATAAAGAATCTATTGACTGATAATTTTTTTTTATAAATTTTATAGTCATGTATTTTATGTCCAAAAAAAACTGGAGCATTTCGTAGATTGCAGGAAGAAGAAGGCTTCAAAACAGATGCGTGGGTCCATTTAGTCTGTGCCTTATGGATGCCAGGAATGTGGATAGCCAATACTCAAGGATTAAATGAGTGCTCTATCATTAGTGTTGAAAAGACAAATTGGATAAAGGTAAATAAATTAATCTTATTATCATCATGTTATAATAATAATCATCAAATCATAAGTTTTTACATTATTGTTATTGTTTTTATTAATCATTTGTATTTATTTAGGATTGTTGTATATGTCCTAAAGAACTTGCTAGTCAAGGTGCGACTGTTCATTGTGATGCAGGCGGCTGTAAAAATTGGATACATGTAACTTGTGCTCAATCTTATAACCTTTTGGAATATGAGGATGATTCTGAAATGTCAGATCCTTATTTTGTTGTAAGTTGCTTATTAATTAATTTATAATTTGGAACTTTATTTTTTTATAGGTATGATTGATTGATTAATATCATTAAATAATAATTATATCATATGTAAATACAACAGTATTGTAAAGAACATTGTTCACAAGCTGGTACTGTTCGTTTAAATGAATGGGAAAGGTGGATTTTAAAACGTGATAAATTTTTAGACAATGTTAGGTCTGAAGAGTTACAAAAAAGAAACAATAAACTCACAAGTGAGTTAATAGATCAAGGAAAAATACTCAGGGAAATTTTTGAAGATAATTATTCTGAATACCAGAAACGTCGAGAAAAACAAATAGTCAAACTTAGAAAAAACGTTGCTCAGCTATATTCAGAGTATAAAGGAGATAAGGACAAGATAAGTAGAGGGGAGGAGCAAATTGAATCCTTGGAACAAAAAAAAAGGACTGTAAAATCAGAAACAATCGAATTAGCAAATTATTTAAACAGATTAAGATTTAGAGTAAAAGCTTTTGTTGAAAAGATGATTAAAAAAGATGCAGATGATAGCAATATCATTAATAATAATGTTGAGATAAAACAATATACTGAATGCTCGACTTACAAAGAAGCAGAAAGACAAATAAGAGATGGATTAATAGAAAAGTCAATGATTGAGATTCAACGATTATTGGCTAAATTGCCAAATTCAATATCAGATTGGAATAATAATAATGTGGAAGAAGCAAAAACAATTAATATTAAAAAGTTAGATATTGAAGAAATTGAAACATTAGGATTAGATAATGCTCAAAAAATTCTTGTTCAAAGACAAAAGGAACGTAAACAAAAAGGTAAAAAGGGTAAAAAAACTACAACAACCGCAACTAATAATAGCAAAAGTAAAACACCCAAGAAAAATCTTAAGGTTTCAAGAACTACTTCAACATCTTCAAATAATGGATCCGAAGCATTTGATACACCATCAAGAGTAATGTCAATAACTAATGTTTTAATTAACGATGATGATGATAATAATAATAACTGTGACAATGTCATTAATTTTGATAATAATAATGATATTGACGCTATGATGGGTATTGATGAGAATAATACCAATAGTAAAAAAAGTAGAAATAACAGTTATATTAATGGTGTTGATAATGATTCTATTGGTGAAGATAATAATAACATTGGTGGCAGTAGCAGTAATAATAATAATAATAATAATAATAATAATAATAATAATAATAATAATAATAATAACAGCACCAATATAAAAACTCAACTATCCTCCTCAACAAATTCAACATCAAAAATAATAGACGAACTAACTAATCAATTGAAAAAGGCATATAATACTGGCATGGTACCATTTCCTGCATCTAGAAAGAATATATCGGATTTAATCAACTTACCTGAAAATAATAATTCAACAATAATAACAACAACTTCAAGAATGAGTGCATCATCACCATCGTCATATTTAAGAAGAAGAGATTATAATAGTGAAGAAGAAGATGAAGAGGATGAAGAGGACGAGGATTATGATTATGATTATGATGAGGATTATGAGGATGAACCTAAGAAAAAATCCAATAGGAAGAATGGTAAAAACAAGAAAAAGAATAGTTCTGAAATATTTAAAGATACATATGATTATTATAGTAACAAAAAAGCTAGAAATGATGATGATGAATATTATAATAGTCATAGTGATAATATTAATGGTAATAAGAATAGATCAAAGATTATTTATGGTAGTATAATTAGTGGAACTATAGAAAATAATATTTTTAGTAGTAGTAGTAATCACAGTAATAGGAATGTTAGGAAAAGATCTCAAAAGAAACCATTAATGAGAAAAAGAAAGAAAAATGGAAATAGTTCTGACTCTTCACAACAACAATACAGTAAAAAGGGCGAAGGATCAAGAAATGGGAATTCTAATAAGAACAAAAGGCCAAAAACATTAATTAAAGATAGCTCTAAATATTATCTTAATCATAATGATAGAATAAATGATGACGATGACGATGACGATGACGACGATGACGATGATGATGATTCAATAAATTTAGAACTACCAAGTAGATATCCTCAACCTATATGTTTCAAATGTGATAGGATTGAACCTCCGGATGATTATCAACCACCTTCATATGTTAAAAATACAAAAGCTAGCAATTTAATGTTAGAAAAGAAAGGTAGAGATACAGTTAATAGAATGATTAGGTGTAATTTCTGTACAAAATGGTATCATCTAGCTTGTATGAATCCGCCAAGAAAAACGATGCCTATCGGGTAAGTTTATATACAACATACATTACATATGTTGTTTGTATGAATGTATGTATACGTTTTATTTTATATATGTATTAATAACAATTTCTTTTTTAGCGGATATATTTGGAGATGTGAGGAGTGTGACCCAACTGATCCAGATGGCAATTCTACAAATATAATTGACCCACTTGATGAATTTATTATTAAAGATAAACAAGAAAAAGAGAAAAAAGTTGAAGTGAAACAAGAAGAAGAAGAAGATGATGATGATGGTACTCCTAAAGCTCCAAAAAAATGGAAATTTAGGGCAAAAGCAAAAGTTTCATATTCATAAGAAAAATTATTTTTATAAATGATTTTTTGGTTTTTTTTATATTATTATTATTATTATTTTAATAATTTATAAAAATATATATATATATATATTAGAATTATATATGTATATTTTTGCATATACGAAAAAAGATTTTTTTTGCTTCAAGTTTAAATAATAGAATTAATAATAATAATAATAATAATAATAATAAAATAACAATAATGATAAAGTTTTTAATTGTTATTAATTTTATTATGCCTATCTAAGAATGTGAGTGAATTAGAGATAAATGCTGGAATGATACTAACAACAACAATAATAAATTTTCTCACTTATACCAACAAATTATTACCTTTTCCCTTTCCCTCTCACTATGCCTATACTTTTGCCTTTTATGTTCTTTTTTATATCATCACTTTTGCCATCATCATCATCATCATCATCTGTTTGTGTACCAAATTCATATTGAACTTTGAATAATTTTTGATAAACAACTTTATTATTGTATTCTTTAAGCATTTCGCCATACAACAATAAATTGTCTTCGACATATGAGAAGAATACTCCTCTTAAGATTGTTAACTGTTGTGATAAGAAATAATATATTAATAATATTAATTAAAATGATTAACAAAATTATTGATTAAAATAACCTGAGTTATGATAAATAAAGCTGTTGGAATAAGGTATCCCCAATTATCTTTATCACACATTTGTAAACAGATGACTTGAGGCGGAGAAAAATAACTAGAATTTCAAGAAGTATAGATTGATAAATCATAATAATACAATGCATTTAAATGAGAGAATATTATAAATCAATGAATAAAAATTTACCAGAATAAATCTAAAGAGAAAATTGGTGGATCCCATTGTCTTAATACCCAAACAAATTCAGTATTATCTGCTTCAACTTTACTCTTAAAAATCTGTTGATATAATGGATAACTATACATAAATAAATTACATATATATTATATAATTCATTATATTAATGTTTGTTATTAATATCATTAATATTACTGCTATTGATTAATACTAACAAAATGCTTCCAGGAAATTTAGTTGACCATTCTGGTTGTTCTAAATTCAACTCTTCAATAACTACATTCATACTTTGAGGTTGTGACTTTTTTTAAAATAAATAAATTGGTTGATTATTTTATACAAAAAAAATTTAGAATATAATTCTACTTACATTTAAATCATGATCAAATAGTTGATACTTTTTAGTTTTTGTAGGAATATATATTGAATTGATTATACTAATAAATAACAATGCCCATTCAATAAATGATATCTACATTATATAATAAATGCATAAGTGTATTGCAATTATAAAAAAATGCTATATTTATTAAACTTACTTGAATTTGTGAAAATATTTTAGATCCAAAAATTATGTAAACATAATCTTTTTCATCCAAGATATATTCTAATCTTAAATATATTGTAATTACATTTAATATAATTCCTATTAACAAACTGATATTAACGTATTTGTTAATATTTTTATAATGATATGGAAAAAATAAAGAAAATATATATATATAATATATGTATTTACGCAAGAACATGCTGTATTTTATCCCAATCTCTTATAGCCAAGTCTTCTTGAAAATGTATCATAAAGTTGATTGGATAATATATAATACGCTCCCAAACGCTAACATGTCTAACCAACCTTCTTCTATTAGTAGTCAACGACATTGCATATCAAGTGTCATTCATAATAATGTGTAACACTAAAATTTATCAATCTTAAAAAAATTTCGGCATGTTCACAAACAACTTCTCTATATTAAACAAAAACAAAAAATATAAAGCTATTCCAGAACTTTCAAACGACTATTAAAATAAGAAGCGAGCTTAAATTTTGATTATTCTACGATAGGTTAAAAGTATTGCTTTCGTTGGCACTCAAGGTTTTCTTACAACTGGAAGCAAAAAAACATGTGAATAGGAACTAGAAGACTAGATGAAAAAAATTTTGACTTGAAAGAATCGAAATTCTAGCTGATATTAAGATATTTATTTCAAAAGTCATTATATGTTAAATGCGTCCAGAACTATTCAAATTGTATATTAGAGTAAGTATATTGACAACATACATATTATTAAATAATCTATTATTGATTCAACAATTGTGTTATTATATGTGAACTTTGGCAAAATGGTAGGTGAAGTAAGATGCAATGTATTATAAATTAACTTGTAAACTAATCAAACCTTTCAATTGACTGTTGATTTAAATTTCTAGAACATGATGGGTGGTTGTCTATTTGAATGATGAGGGTGTTTTTTTATCCAGTTAAAATAGTGTATTTAATGAAATAGTAATTCAAAGAAGAGGCAGATAAAAATTTTATTATCATTTAATTAATTATTATTTGTTTTTTTAAAAAATTTCAGAATACTGGTTTATATTGTATTCAGAATAATCTGATAAAGAATCATAATTGAATATCATAAATAAGTTACAAAGATTCAAGTAACCTTTTTTGTATATGGAATAAGATGTGTATGACCAAAAGAAGTGAAAGCATCATTAAAAGAATTTGAGTAATTATTTATATATTTTTTGTCAATAAATTTCAAAAGAATTTATATATTAATTAAAATGATAACAAATGTTATATCTTATAGTAAATAATTTTTAAATTGTCAATTTTGGGGAATTGTTACCAAACTTAAATCTTTCTAAACTCCATTTTTGGAGATATCATATTATTGATTCCATAGGATTATTTGGCTCCATATATGGCTTCAGAACTAATACATTTGAAATACTTCATAAATTTTTTGTAAAGAGTCTTATAGAATGTCAAATAAAAAAGAATGCCTCTCAGCAAATGTTAAATATGGTATATTAATTCAGTCTTATTTTGACAAAGAAATATTGTTCTATTTAAATAATATGTTATATAGATAAGAAAAAAAATCATATTGGATTTCATCTATTAAAAAATCAAATGATTGTTTAAAATTAAATTCTGGAATTCAAATTGGTTAAAATCAAAGGTATTTTACTAATTTGGATGGATTGAGAAATCTATTGGATTCATATTTAGAAGTTGTTGATGATGAGAATATAATTTTAAAGCATTTACATATTTTAAATCAATATTATTAATTTATGGTATTGGTGAGCCATTTTTTACAAGTACAGTAATAGTCATGGATGATGACGAAGCTAAAGAGTATACAATTAATAATGGTTTATGTTATGCAAAGGTATTTGTTAATAAAAAAGAAAATTTTCTAAATCTGATATTATTTATAATGTAGGTTTTACTACAGTTACAATTCAATTAATATTAATAATACCATTAGTTAAATGGTATGATTGAGAACTTCAAAAAAGAATTTTTGAAATTCTTCAAACAACTTAATACCCATAAACACGATAAATTTATATTTTAATCATTATTATCAAATATGTTCCTGTGCAATTAATTTTTAAATGCATGTATGACTTTTATCCATGTATAAAAGATGGGTTTTACCAAGTACCTCGATTATATATAACAATCAGGAAAAAGTAATCACAACATATTTATTTATTACTTTGTTAAAAAAATAACATTGATCTCCATAATCACCATTATCATAATCATCTTCATTCCCATCGTCTTCTTCATCCCCATTCAATGTCGATCATCGTCATCGATTCATCATCATTATCATCATCTCAACATCACTATTAACATCACCTTATAATTATGATAACGATGATTATGATAATTGTGATAACGGTGGTAATGGTTATAATTATTATTAACCACACACTATGTTGTTGCTGTCGTTGTAGTAGTTGTGTTTTGTCTTTGTCGTGATGACAGTTTTTTAGACGCGAAAATCACGTGATTTGTACACTAACATTAATCTATACTTGAAGCCTTACTTAAAACTATTTATAAACGAGTGGAGTATTATGGATCCCTTTATTATTGGTATGAAGTGTGACCGGTGAAGATGATCTTAATGATTCTGCAATTGATGTTGTTCCTGACATCATATATTACGATAATAACAAAAGATTCATATCAAATAATGACGCGTCTTTTACCAAACAAGGCACAGCAAATAAAATTGTTAAAATAATTATTCCCTGAATACATTCAAAAAAAAAATTTTGTATTATTTAAATACGTGAGATAATAATTCATGGGTAATTAGTGCTAGAAGAAAATATTCAAAGACATATCTGATATTATTATATACAAGATAAAATTCTTTAAAAATTAATAATCGATATTGTTACACTAAACATGATTTATAACATTACAATTTTACATACACTTATCAGTCAAATCATCATCTCATACAAATTTTTTTTGAACTCTCACACTTTTTTCATCATAAAACAATATTACTAAATATATATAAATAAATATAATAAATATATTTATGCCAACTTGCTACTATTTAATAAACTACTTCTATTAAACAAAAAACATCTATAGACTGCCTAAAACAAAATCTAATTCTATAATCGATTTATTTATTATTGACTACAATTATTTGTATGTATATTATTATTTTTTATTATAAAAAAAAACAAAAAGAAACGAAATGAGTGTAAAATTGAAAAAAATTATATATATTAATTTACAATAACAAAAGTGTGTATATATATACATTTTACAACAAAACATAATATATACAATATTATTAATGATGATGATAACCTCCTTACTGCCTCAATAATTCCTACATTTAACAACTTCTTTTGTTGTACTTTGATTGTTTAAAAATTTTATTTTCAGCTACAAATTACACATTCCAAAACATATATCCAAAGCAATCATTATGACAATCATTATCATCATTATTATTATTAAAAACAATCATTCCCTCGTATTTCTTTGCTAACTTTTCTTTTTTTTCACAAATCTGATCTTTATTACAAAACTTGTTATCAGAATCGGAAACGTATATTTCGTCATCAACATCATCAACATCATCAACATCAACATTAACAAAATTGTTTATATATATAACTTTTATATATGATAATAATAAATTATGAATGAGTCTCCTGAGATAGACATTAACTCGGTTATTGATAGGCTACTTGATGGTAACTTTTTTAGTATCAACAAATATTTATATGTGTGTGTGTGTAAATTGTATGATGAGATTAATTAAATTTGTAAAACTTTGTATTTTTATTTTTAATAGTAAGAGGTTGTCGGCCTGGTAAACAAGTACAATTAGCAGAGTTTGAAATTAAATATTTGTGTACAAAAGCAAGAGAAATTTTTATTTCTCAACCAATACTTCTTGAACTCGAAGCACCAATAAAGATTTGTGGTACGCTATATTATCATTAATACAATTATTATAATTAAAGTTATTTTATTCATATTTATTATTATCATATTTTTTATATAGGTGATATACACGGACAATATTATGATTTGTTAAGGTTATTTGAATATGGGGGATTTCCACCCGAAGCAAATTATCTATTTCTCGGAGATTATGTTGACAGAGGAAAACAATCATTAGAAACGATTTGTCTCTTATTGGCATATAAAATAAAATATCCAGAAAACTTTTTTATTCTACGTGGGAATCACGAATGTGCAAGCATTAATCGTATTTATGGATTTTATGATGAATGTAAAAGAAGATATAATATTAAATTGTGGAAAACATTCACAGATTGTTTTAATTGTTTACCAATTGCTGCAATAATTGATGAAAAGATATTTACTATGCACGGTGGTTTATCTCCCGATCTTCAAAACATGGAACAAATTCGTAGAGTTATGCGACCTACAGACGTACCAGATACAGGTATATTAAATAAATAATCTTGATTATTTGAATTTTTGTTGTTACTGTTGAATAATAATACGTTTAATTCTATTCCTTTTTTTTTTTAGGTTTACTGTGCGATTTATTATGGTCAGATCCGGAAAAAGATACCACCGGATGGAGCGAAAATGACAGAGGAGTATCATTTACATTTGGACAGGATGTAGTTGGTAGATTTTTACAAAAACATGACATGGATTTGATATGTAGAGCACATCAAGTGGTAGAAGATGGATATGAATTTTTTGCCAAAAGACAACTTGTTACACTATTTTCTGCGCCTAATTATTGTGGCGAGTTTGATAACGCAGGTGCAATGATGAGTGTGGACGAGACTCTTATGTGTTCATTTCAGGTATACATTTATTGATTTTATATAATAATGAAAATTAAGAGTTATAATAAATAATAACGTTACTGTTTTTGTTTTTTATAGATTTTGAAACCAGCAGAGAAAAAAAAATATGCTTATGGTAATGTGAACACAGGAGGAAGAACAATCACACCATCACGCAATAATAGCAATAAGAAAAAGAAAGAAATGGCGAAAGTTACATAAATTTTATTTTACTTATTCTGTAGAAATTAACAACAAAAAATAAAAGTTGTAAAGAAAAGAGGTGAAAGGTGAAGAGAGGTGAAGAGAGGAGAGAAAAAGGAGTTAACAAATCAATTACAATAAACCATTTTTTTTATACAAGTTGAAATTTTTTTTATTGCTTTTTTACTTTGTTTTTTTTTTTTTTACTTTTTTATTACCATCACCATCACCATCACCATCACCACCATCACCATTATTACTAATACTATTATATATGGAGTTTTTTTAATTGAAATAATAACAATTTTTTTTTAATATTTTGCAAAATAGAAATAAATAAGTTGTACTATTATATTACTATTATTTTTAATATATTAAGATGATGTTAAGATATTAAGATAAATTATACAACTATGGAATTTTAAAATTTAAAATTTAAAAATTTCTTGTGTATATTAATTAATATATCAATAATGACTTGTAACATTTATTTTATTTTAGTTTATTTTTCTTTAATATCTAATAAAAAAAAACTTTTTGTTCATAACGAATAAAAGTATTTTACGCGTTTAATATTAATATTAATAATATTAAATGGATAATGTCACATGTAAAATTTTTTTTTATTCTTACGCGTAGTAAGTAAATCATTTTTTAAGAATCTATTGTATATAAATTTGGGAATTATTAAAAAATTTTTTTAAGTGATCACCTTTGATAAAAGAGAGAATGGTGAATGTTAGAAACTAAAATTGGGATTCAAAAGATTTTTTTTTTTAATGAATTAATCATATTTAGAATATTATTGTAAGAACTTGTTATTTGTTATTCATAATTTATCACATTTCATAATATTTTGTAATCAAAGAACTCTTAGCATAAGTCTAAAAAATTTTCGATCCAATCCCAATTCAAAATCCAAATCATTTAGTCCAATCAATTAATGGTGTAGCTTTAAATTAAAAAAATTTTAATTAATTAATTAAATTAATTAAATTCAAACAATAATAGGAATTGAAAATCGTATTGTTCTTTTTTAAAAAACATAGTAATAAATAGTACACAAATAAAGATTATCCACGAATAAATTTTTTCGTTTCATGTAAATCCCAATTTGCATACTAATACAGTTATAATAATTTTATTTTTAATTCACGATTTCCGGATTTCTAGTATTGCTTTTTTTTTATTTTATTGCTGTAAATGGCTTGGTTGTTGTTGGGAATTGATGATTGGTTATTTACTTATCCTTTTTGTACACACATACATACACATTACATTACATATATTGATTTAGTAGATGAAGCAAAAAAGTGTTTATAGAAAAAAAAAAAAATGCACGAGCTTCGTTACATTAACGTAAATTTTTTTCTTTCTATCATCCCATCATACATTAAACGACAACTTATGTGATAATTAATTAATAATATCCGGTTCAATAAAGAATAAAACTCTATGAACTCAAAAGTAGGTAAGATTAAAAAATAAAGGTCATTATATTATATTTAATTATTATTAATTAATGTTTAAACAAAAACAAACACAATTTTCACTTGAAAAAATACTTTTAATTTCTCTGGCAAAAATCTGAATTTTCAAACTTTATTGATTGGCAAAATCAAAATCGAAAAGATAATATATATATATAAAATAATATATAAAAAAATAAAATATAAAAAATAAAATATAAAATAAGATATAATAAAAATAAAATATAATAAAAAATAAAAAGATAAAAAAAAAAATAGAAATAAATTTGGCAAATCAAAAAAAAGTGGCGGCAATTGGCAAACGAAATATAAAAAAAAATAAAAAAAAATGGCAAACTATATTTTTTAGTGGCAAAATCTGAATATTAAAAAAAATCGTGACAAACAAAAAAAGTGGCAAAATCTGAATATGTTTTCGTGAACAGTTTAAAAAAAATCGTGAAATATCGAAAGAAAAAAGAAAAAAAAAGCATAAAAAAATTTGGCATTGGCAAATGGCAAAATGGCGAACTAGTAGAACTTAAAAAAAGAAATCACAAACACAAACAAAAAATTTCGAAGTTAAACGAATATAAAAAAAAAAATTTGAGGAAATCACAAACACAAACAAAAAATTTCGAAATTGTAAAAAAAAATTAATAAAAATACGTAATATGAAAAAAATTTGAAAGTTGTGGTGGTAGTGTGGTTGATTGATATTTTTTTTCGCATACACAAAAAATCGAATTTTTTTTTTTAAAAAAAATGTATGTTATATCTTAATGTTTGACTGATTCAATGTTGTCAATAAAATCTTGTACACTTGCATCGTTCACTCCAAAAAGAGAAAAGTTGAAAGTTGAAATAATCCAAGAAAGTTGCACAAACATTAAGTGTGATTTTGTTTTGATTTTTTTAAAAAGGTAATATCACCACCCACCCACAAACAATACAAAAACGGGTTAAATCCAAAAACAAAATGGCTGCACAGGAAAAAAATGGAAAGGCGCCATGCTGCAAAATGAAAAAGAAACCTAGCTCCGTGTGCCGAAGCGATACTTCGTCAGAGAATACAGTTGCACCGTGTACCGAGCTTTGTCGCTTCATCATAAAACCAGAAAATTAATTAATTATAATATATATGGTTTTCGTATTATTCTTGATCGTGTAAAGATTTGTTCACTATACTATTTTTTTAGAGGTCATATTTTTTTATATTTTTTTTTGTAGTGTATAGTATTATATTATATATATAATTAATAGAGAACGCAATTTTCCAGTAGTACTTAGGCTTGGACTCTTTGGCAGTGACCTGCGGTCGATTGCTCCTTAGGAATCGCCTCCTTGACAGTGACCAGCTTCAATAATCTCTAATTCGTCTTGGAGTGTCGCTTTCCACTTGTTTGATGTGTAAACAAATTGGTTAAAAAATTTAAACTGTCATGTACTGTGTGTGCGTGAATGCGCGTGTGAAACTTTTTTAAAATTATTTTTCACTAACGCTTTTAACTTTTTATATATTGGTGAAGCGAGAGAGGTGTGAAGTGGTTGTTGTTGTTATTGCATATATTGATGGTGTTATGGTGTGGAGTGATATATTTATGGCGTGGTGATTGAGGAATATGGTTTTGAAGTGATATATCATATATTATATATAACATGATATAAAGGAGTTTTTTTTTTTAATGTATATCATAAATTATATATAATGTATGATATAATGGATATTCATTAAAATGATATGATGTTTTGTTATATTATCTTCGAGATAATTTTTCATTATCGAATATATTGACCGTTGTTATTACAAACCGAATAAATTTTTAGCTAGTTTTTATATAATTTATAGGGTATAACTCGAGAAAATTGTTGTAGTTGTTGTTGTTGTTGTTGTTGTTGTTGTTGCTGTTGTTGTTGGTAATAAACTTTCAATGAAAAAACAAACACAAAGTGAAAAGACTTGGAAGTGAAAGGTCGTGACGTTATAATTCGTTATGTTGTTGAGAGAAATTTAGTTCTTTCTTTCTAAAAAAAAACTTTTTCTCAAAGTCATTAATTATCATTGGCACTAATGTAGTGACGTGCTACTACTTCATACTTTTTGTTTATATATTTAGTAGTGTAGTAGTTTTGTGAGATGATGTGTGGGAAGAAGGTTGTAAAATTAAAAAAAAAATATAAAAATTTTTTTTTAAATTTAACCAAAGTGAAAATTAATTAACATCCTGGAATCCCTAATAATAACTTGACAATTGTCCATTATTTGAATAAATTTCATTATAATAAATAATATATATATAAATATATATTATATATAAAAAATAAAAAATATAATAAAAAATAAAATGTTCAAAAAAATTTTTTTGTTTTTTTTTGTTAAGTCAAAGGAAGGAAAAAAGGTAGGAATTATATAGGAGTTGGAGAAGTTTTTTTGTTTACCAAGATTGGTCAAATATAATTAATTATAGTTACTATAATTATATTTGTGTATGTAATGTATGAGTTGTATGTACGTATGTATGTATGATGTGGAGTTATTTTTGGTTTTTTTTATTGATGACAAATTAGTGTTGATAGATATTATTACGATTATTATGGTGGGGGTGACGATGGTGTTGATATGTGTGGTGTTGTGCGTATTATTTTATTTAATTAATTATTATTTATTTATTTATTTTTAATTTAATTTTAATTTTAATTTAATTATTTGTTTTACTATTTATTTATTTCTATTTTTCCCATTGTGGAAAAAATATAATAAATAATAGTAAAATAAATAAAAAAATAAAATATAAAATAAATTTATTAAAAATAAATAATTAAAAATTAAAAAACGGTACTGTTCCATAACATGGAACCGCACCAACTGACCACATCTTTTACATTGGACGCAACATCAACACATCGTTTCACAACTCCTGAATCATCTAGTGTTTCAGAATGTTCCACCACGTGGTTTGTTGTTACACCACGATGATGTTTATTGAGTTTTCTATTATTAATTTGTTGCACCGTAGCATTTTTATTGTTACGACTTTTACTAGAGTTGGTGGAAACTGATTTTTTTTGTTGAGCTGTTGCTACTGGTTTTGGTTGATTTTTGGTGGCTGCAGTAGGAGAAGAAGATAAGACTGGCATGATGAATTCATCATCATCATCAACTAACAAAGAACCATCTTCACCAAATAATTGAAGTTTACCAGTTGATTTAACTTGTTCTTTAGCCCGAGCGAATATTTGATGATAATCGTTGCCATTATCGTTAACTTTGCTATTATCATTGTTGTTGTTGTTGTTGACAATATTAATAGCGGCAGTTTGATTACTATGATTAGAAGAATTATTGTTGTTGTTGTTGTTGTTGTTGTATAATTCTTCTTCCATTTTCATGAAGAAAGGGTTGCTCATCCGACGTCTTGCAGGAGGTGGTCTGATAGAATAATGAGTAGGAGTGTAGTGAACTTGTTCCAAATTACGACTAAATCTAATAGATTTTTTCTTTTTTGGTTTTTGTTGTTCCTCCTGATGATAATACTCGGGTGGTGATGACAATTTATCATTACCATTATTATAATAATAAGCTTTACTGCCATGGCCATAATTACGATTGTTGAAAATCTTTTCGTAAAATTTATTATCAATAGCAGTCTTATCATTTTTGTTATTGAGCAACATTAATTCACAAGCATAAGAGATCAGATCTTTTAATGGATCGCGTTCAACTGGTTTTTTAAGAACTGGTTTCAAGTAAGCAGTTGGTGAATTAGGAATGGAATTGATGTTGGTGGTAGTTGGTGATAAAGGAGGGGATGCAAAGGCAGATGAAGGTGGAGATGAAGAAAGGCTACTGCTACCACTAGAAGAGGCACTATTGGATGATGATGATGATGATGATTTAATGTTGATGGATTTTGTGAAGCCATCATAAGTTGGAGTAGGTGGACAACAAGTAGCTGGTGGACTACCAACCAATGTTTCGTCGTCATCGTCATCCATGAATGGATCGCTATCAGGTTGATAAAGCGGACCAAATAACCAAAGTATATCACACTCCTTTTGCCTAAAATTGTAAAAAAAAATAAAAATAAATGATAAATGAATATAGTTAATTAAATGAATGAATGTTTTAATTATGCCATATATGTATATATATATATATATATGTATGTATTAATATATGTAAAAAGCGAGAGAGGGTAATGGAATGGTCTAATGGTTTTAAAAATAGGAAAAATGGAAACAAGAAATTTAAAAATGGAAATAAAGGGTGGGACTGTTTGTTTGACAAAAAAGTAAATAATAATAGTATAAAAAAAGGAAAGGGGCGGGGAATAGTGACTAATTATTTCTAATTCTAATTATTCTATTTTGGTATATGCGCGTGTGTAACAATAAAAGTGATTTAATTGGTGTTGTATGTTGTGTGCATTAAATCCATTGGAGTGAATGACCCGCCCAGAATAAAAAAGTGGGAGTTCCCGCCCAAATTGTCAAATTGTCTGATCAAAATCTAAATTAATTCGGATATACTATTTTAAGTCGTCATAAATGTGTCAATGCTATTTATTGTTGTTATTGTGTCTTTTTTTTTTCGTATTCCGTTCATTCATCACCATTCATTCATTACAAAATTATTTGTTGTGAAACGATCAACAAAATGTCAATTTTTTGTTTTTGCATTAATAAAAATGATGTTTTTTAAAATGAGCGAATAATTAATTGTGTTTGAGGGAGGAAAGGAGGTAAAATATGTGTCAAATTTGGTAATAATAACTTTCTCCACTAACTAACTATCTCTTCGCCCCCCAAAAAAATATAAAACTTTAAGCCCCAAGAAAATTAAAGTTTGGTTACACGCGTACACACACACTTTAATTAATTAATTAATTAAAAAAAATTAAAATTAAAATTAAAATATATATATATATTATGCTATGACTTAAAATCTAATTCCATTTACTTTAAAAAAAATTTAATATTGTGTAACTGTAAACAAAGATTGATAAATTTTTTTTTTTTCACAAAAAATTTTTAATTAAAGGGATGATGGAAAAAAAAAGGGATCTATAAACTAAGCTATCTTCTAATAACCTGATTAGAACAACTTACCATTTCAAGGTTCTTGGAGACACTAGCTTATTTCCTTTAGCAACTACACCAAGAGTAGGACCCATACGTCTCCATAAAGCATTTTTCATTCGAACTAAACGTTTCTCGTCGGCTTTTAATGCTGATAATTCTTTTCGTCGTTGTAATTGTTTGCTGATATTTCCTGTGATATTTTTAATAATATTATCATCATTAGCCTTGTTATTATCATCATTAGTATGAATAATTGGTAATGATATTGTTGTGGATCTTTTATGTCTCATGTAGGAATTTTTAGTTCGTGGTGATGAAGATGATGATAATAATTTTTCCCGTTGTTCACGTTCTTTTTCTTTTTCATCACGACATTTACGAGCACAAGCATTAAGTTGACTACTAATTTCTTTGTAAGAATAAAGAACATCAGTGTCAGACCATTGATGAGATTGACCTAAATAGTCAACTGATCGAGTGGCGGATGAGGTGACTGAAGGTTGTTCCATTATTATATTATTTAGTTGTTGGAAACGTTGATGATATTAATGTTATTATATTATAAATTATTATAATAATAAATTAAATTATTATTTATTAAAAGGAAATAATAATTTCTTTTTTTTTTTTTAAAAAAAAGATTTTTTTTTTTGACAATGAAAAAGTGGGAAATTGAAACTCTTTTTATATAAAAAGTGAATTTGAAATTTATATAATATATATTATATATATATATATATATATATTATTATATTATATATTATAAATAATAAAAGCGTTGTTTGTTATTATTTCTTTACTTTTAAAGAAATTTAAGAGAGATTAAATATTTACAAAAGTTATGTATAAAAAAATAGGTTTGTTTTAAAAAAACTCAGGAGAATTTATTTCCCGAAAAAAGGTGATTTATACAGAGTGTTGTTGTAGTTGTTGTTGTGGAGTTGCGTATATATATATAATAATGATTATATATATATATAAAGAATAAAGGCAAGTTTTAAAAGATTTACAAAGAATTAGATTAGATAGAAGAATAATTTTATTTGCTAGTTATTATTATTATTGTTGTTATATTAGTAATAATAATAATATATAAAAAAGGTTTTCATTAAATTTTTCTGATGTTGTTTTGTTTTGAAAAGAAACTGTTGTTTTTTCTTTTTTTTTTTTAAAAAAATTAAAATAAAATCAAAATTAAAATATTATTATTTAAAATTATTAAGATATTAAAAATTATTATTATTGATTGTTATATTATATTACAATTCGTTCGTTATTAAAAAAATTTAAATTTTTTTAATTTGTGTGTTTATTAAAGAAAAAAAGAAAATTTTGGAATGAAGCCTTTTTTTATAAATAAATTTTTTATATCCTATATTTTTTTTTAAATTAATACTTTGCAAAAAAAACTTTAATTTCAAAATGATAAATAAATAAATAATGTTTACTTACTTTAAGTAATATTAGCTAATATATTATTATTTTTATACTAATACACTTGTAATATAAAAAAATTTTTTTTAAATGTGACATATAAATAAAAATTTTTTTAAACACGGTTTTTTTTTTAAAAAAAACTTTGGGGAAATTTATTATTGCTATCACTGTTATTTATTTTTATTTTATTTAAAATTATTATTATTGTAAAAATAAAATAAGTAATCCAAAATAGAAAAATCAAATTTATAATAATAATTATAGCCATAAAATAATTTAAGCTGTATAGTTAGTTGTTTATAAATATATATACAGTTTATTTATTTATAGCAGGGGAGGTATGTGTGGTGGAGGAGGGAATGATCTTTAAGGAGGAGATTTATTATAATTATTATTATAATTATTTAATTAGCGATGACGATTAAAATAAATTTCTTTTTGCCCTACTAACTGCTTACTACCTTGCTGTCTTGTAACATTGATTTTGATTTGATTTTGATTTGATTTGATTTTGTTTGATCGATTAAATTGGCTGATTATAATAATATAATAAATATAATAATAATAGTAATAGTAATAGTAATAATAGCAATAATAGTAATCTATAAAATGATGAGTAACAACGAGTTGATTTTGATTAATTGATCGAATAACAAAAATAAATGGTCAAATGATCAAAGCAACAAGAGTAATTGATTGGTAATCAACGAATAAGAATCACGAAGAATCGATGGAGAGAAAAAGAAAGATTTATACATATTAGAGAGAAAGAGTATTAGGGGTCCTCGAGATAAATAAACACAAAAACACTGAGAAACCCTTGGGGCAAAAAAAGGGAAAAAAAAAAATTAATTTAATTAGATGTGGAACTGCAGGGTAAAATTAAAAAATTGTGAACTGTGTGAATCAATTAGATGATAAAAAACTCCACAACAACAAAGCCAGGGATTGACTATAGAGTATTAAGAGAAAGAGTGTGTGTGTGAAACACGAATGAGAGAAACAAAGGTCAGGAGGAGTGAATGTTTTTTTTGCAAAATAAACAAATATATATAATAAATAAGACATACGTGTATATATGTATATATATATATATATGCGTGTGTTAATGTTTGTTTATTCTTTACTTTACAAATATACAAAGTTCATGTTTAAAATATACGTATACATACATACATGTATGTATGTATGTTTGTTGTTATAAAAAAACATTATAAAATAAAAAAATTTAAAAAAGAAATTTATAATCATTTTTAAAAATAACGCGATTGGTTTGTGTAGTTAATTAACAAACGAGCTAACGAACCATCGGAAGTGAGATGCCTATTTCCCTTGTGTGGGAATTGATAAGCTAAACTAAACAACTAAAAATAGGTTAACCAATATAAAAAAAATTAAAAATCAATCGATCGATTGATAAATCTTACACGTTAAAAAAACCAAGAATAATAAATAATAACATATAAAAATCAATTTATTATTATTAACCTACTACAATTTTATTTTATTTTGAATAATTGCAATTACAGGAAATTTTTCAATTTTTTTTTGGCCTGGATATTAGCGAAAGAAAATTGGCACTTAATGGCATGATAAGAAATAGTGATGCGGCAGAATAAATTAATATATATATATATATATTATCGTAATTGATTGATCAATCAATCAATTAATTAGTGTAGTGTAATTAATGAATGAATTGATTGGGATGGTTGTTTACAGACTTTTTAAAAACGCAATTCACCGATAAACCATCACTATAGCATAAATGAAAATCTAATCTCTATATATTAATGTACACACATACGCATACACACACATATATGAATGTGCGCCTACCAGTAAATATTATGATGATGATGAATCGAATTTTCCTAGTTTTGTTTAATTATAGTATTAGTTTCCCTAATTATTTATTAGACTTAGCAAATAGGTTTTCTAATTTAAATAAGATTTCGTCATATAGATATAAATAAAAAAAAACTTTATTTAACCGTAAGCCAATCGCCACCTCTAAAACCTGGAAAAATTATTTTATTTTATTATTTGTAAAAAATTTAAATTTTATATTTTGTGTAAAAATAAATAAACAAAGCAAAATTTAAATTTTTTGTATGTAATAAAAAAAAAAAAAAAAATCAAATTTTATTTTATCTCCTCCTACTTTTTTTTTAACTTTCTTTAAAATATAATGAATGTCAAACGATGTCCTGTATTAGACTGGTTTTTTATTATTTATATAGGATAAATCATTGCAAATTTTTTTTGAATATATAAAAAAGAATATATATTTAACTATATTAGCATTAGATGCACATACATTACATTGTGCATACATATTTGTTTTTATATACTATTTTTTGACAAGAGGTGTCAAGGAACAGAGGAATAATGGTGTGAGTAATGATGATGATAGTGACGATGATGGATGAATGAAGATGATGATGGATGAATGAAGGTGAAAATGAATGATAATGGCGTGATTTTTATAACGTACGTAAAGGAAATATGTGAGATTTGAGAAACCAATGCAAACCAAGCAATAGGCTATAATTAGTTAAGTTAATTAATTAGCCAAATATTATTATATTATTTTATTATTAAGTAATAGGCGGCAGCATCAATAATATTTTAATGTTTTGCTTCATTAATTACTATCACCGTCATTATTTGTCATTGTTATATTTTTTGTGTTTCGGTTCGATTTTCTAAATGACGATGACAATTACGTTGGAGGAAAATGAAGAGAAAGAGCGAAATAAATAACATATAATATTTACTAAATTTAAAAATCATCATCAAAATAATGATAAAATTATATAATAAAAATAAATAATAATAATAAAAATAAAAGCCGCCGTCGTCGTATTTTTGAACGCCAAAGAAGATTCTCAAAATTTGTTTATTATATACATATATATATATATATATATATATATATAAATATAAATATATAACAAATAACAAATAACAAATAACAAATAACAAATAACAAATAACAAATAACAGAACTCTTTAATTACACAGATGTATATAATTAATTACATTACATTCTATTCCATTCCATTCCATTCCATTATTATTTTAGTTTTTTTCCCAGGCTGAATAAATAAAATAAAGATAAATTTTTTTTCCTTTCTATGTACTTTATCAGTATTATATATATATATGTGTATATATATACAGTTATTTATTCCGAATTTCCGACATACATAATGCACACACGCATACAAATAAGTGTTAAACAACTACGACCAACCCACCAATCTCAATTTCAATTTCAATTTCAATTGAACAATGAATTAATTATTTTTTATTTGGTTTATTTCACTGTTTTCCAAATTTGACAAAAAATCTGATAATATCCCTATATAACTGTTACAAAAAAAAACCAAAAATTGATTTAAACTTATCTTTTTTTTTATTTTTATAAAAAGGAAGATTACAGGAACAATTAAAATAATAATAATAATAATAATAATAATAATAATAATAATAATAATAAATAATAATAATAATAAATAATAATAAATAATAATAATAATAATAATAATAATAATAATAATAACTTATTATCTGTCAAAAAATTTTATTTTCACAAATTCAACCATAAAAAAAATTTATTTCTCACCTGAAATGCTAAATTAAATTAAGCAGTATATTACGTATTATGAAATAATATAGTTTATATGCAAACATATCTCAATCAATAAAATTATCTGATTTTGTCAAAATTGTCATTCATTATCTATGTGTTACAAGAAAATACACTGTTTAAAATTTTATCATCTCCAATTTATTTATTTATATGCGTGTTACTTTTGTTTATTTGCTATTTACAGTACACATTTTAGATGATGGTACGTGTCATACACATCCATCCATATATGATATATATTTTTTCGCGTATTTATTTATGTTTGCGCGTAATATGTAAAATTTAAAGAGAGCGAGCGAGTGTGTTAAAAAAAAAAAGATTAATTAAAAACAATCGAAGAAGGCGAAGGCGATAAAAATGAAAAAATGGTATTATGATGGTATTACCATTAATATACTTGTATATAATATATAT